GCCTCGCGCCTGCGGGACTGCCAGGCGGCGCTGGTGGCGGCGGGATGGACGGACGCGCTGGAGGATGCCGGTGCCCTGGACAAGGTGGCCGCCGTGGAGGAGGTGCTGCGGCGGGCGCTGGAGCTCGCCCGCGGCCCCCAGGAGCCCCCGCTGGACCCCCAGGAGGGGGGGGAGCCCGGCACGGCCACCAGCATGGCCATGGTATGGGCAAGCCCAAGGGGACGCCATGGTGAGGCGGGGGGTCGGGGGGGCCAGGGCTGAGCCCCCGCTCTCCCACAGCACTTGGCCACCCTGGCTGCTGCGGCACGGGAAGACGCCTGGCAGGGCCGGCAGCAGCTCCAGGCCCAGCGGCAGGAGGTGGCACGGCTGCAGGAGCAGCTCAGCAGGTCGGGCAGGGAGTCCCCACTCCCACCACCCCACAGTCACCTCCCATCTCCACCCGTCACAGGGTTTTCCCTGGGACCTCCCATGATGCCCCACTTGGACCCAGGGGAGCAGCACCTGGGGATGGGCAAGGGGAGGGAGGGAAGGATTTGGGGACAGAGGGCTGGAGAGAGGCATCAGTCTGGGGACTGATAGGTTGGTGGAGGGGTGGGTGGGCAGAGGGGTGGGCAGGGGGAAGAATTAATTTGGGGCCAGTAGATGGATGGAGGGATGAATTTGGGGTAAGTTGATGAGCGGGCGCACAGAGGGATGGAGGGATGAATTTGGGGTGAGTGGATGGGTGGGCAGAAGGGAGGGATGGGTGTGAGGAAGGGCAGATGAACAGCTGGGAAACGGATGGGTGGCTGGCCCGGCAGATGGCAAGGTGGCTGTGGGGATGGGCAGCCAGCTTGGGGATGGATGGGCAGCAGACAGAGGGAGGGAGGGAGGGATAGATGGATGGATGGATGGATGGATGGAGAGACGACCAGCTGAGGGACAGCAGGACCATCACCCCACTGCCCCGTGCCAGGGCCCGGCAGGATGGTGAGCGCTGGGCATCGGCGCTGCAGCGGGCGCAGCGGGAGGCCCTGGAGCGGGAGGCCATGCGCGGTGCCGAACAGGCACGGCAGCAGGAGCTCATCCGTGACATGAAGGGGCGGCTGCTGGAGCTGCTGCGGTGAGAGCCCCGGGGACCCCTCGGGTGTGGGACCACGCGCGGGTGGGGGGAGCCAAGGAGGAGGGCACCAGAGCCCTGGCGAATCCCACTCACCACCTCGGGAGACTTAGGTGCCCACCTTGGGTCTGGGATGCCAGGGCGTGCTCCTGGACACCCACCACCGGGTATGCTCCTTCCAGGGCTGACCTCTCCCCTCCCGCAGGGAGAAGGATGCCCTGTGGCAGAAGACAGAGGGCATCGACACCACGATGCCCAGCCCGGCGCCCCGCGATGCAGGGCTGTGCGCCCGCTGCCACAAGGATTTCCGCCTCCTCTCCCGGCGGTACAACTGCAGGTGGGCTGCGGGGAGGGCACCGGAGGTGGCGCCGGCATGGCACTGGGATGGCACGGCTCTCACCGCCTGCTCTCTCGGCAGGCTGTGCCAGGGCAAGGTGTGCCACACGTGCTCCGTGGACGTGGGCAAGCAGGGGCGCTGCTGCCTGCTTTGCTACCAGCAAAGGCACCCGCAGGCTACATGAGCTGGGACTGCAGCCCTCACACCGTGCCTGGGACAACCCCTGCCTTGGCTGCCTCCTTTCGGACTTACCGGGGACCCAGGCATCCGGGGCCTGCAGGCAGGTCCTGCTGCCTGACATTTCGGATTTGAGTTGTGTCTTTCTTGTGGCTGGTCCACAGAGAGGAAAACAATCCGCTCCTGCTACCCCTGTGGCTCCCGTGTTGTCTATCAGTCATCACCGGATTGACCCCCCCAGGCTGGGTGCAGGGTGGGGGAATGCCAGTATGGGGGTGTCCGAACCCTCCTGAGGGGGAACTGTCCCTGTAAGGGGTGTCCCAGCTGCAGCCAGGCTGAGCCACCATCTGCCCTGTCCTACAGCAGGGAGGCAGCAGCAGGCAGGGGAGACGGCTCTTGGCCAACAGCCCCGGCTTCCTGCCAGGCTGCAAGGAACCGCTTGGGCAAGAGGTTTCCCAGATGCAAAGGTGATGGGCTGTCCCTGCCCAGCACCACCGGTGACCCTGCCCAGCCTTGGGTCCCCAGGGCTCCCCACCTGGGTGCCAGGGGACCCCCGTACCCACCCATGAGCCAGCACAAGGCTGGCACCCACTGCTGCCCCCATGGTTAAGGACCCCCAGGAGCCTGGATCAGGGGTGATGCAGGACCAGTACAGGAACCCCATGGAGAGAAGCTTGGGTGCGTTGGGGCAGGCACCCCGATGCTTGGCCCACAGGGTGGCAGGAGGGACCCCAGCAGGGTCATAGACCCTCTTCAGCCCCTCTGCCCCACTCTGGTGCCATCCCCAGTTGCCCAAGCAGGGGCGGAAACGTCCCGGTTGTGTAAGGGACAGGTTTCCAGCCCTTTACGCAATGATGTCCTGGCACTGCAGCATCGGGGGGGCAGGGGGTGCCTTGGGTGCTGGCACCCTTCAAGTAGGGGTCACAGGGCTGGCTTGGTGTCAGTGAGGGGCTGCCCAGTGATCTTGCAGTGATTTGCTCCACTGGGGCTCAGATTGGGGTTGGGAAGGGGGTGACTTTGTCCCCAGGTGGGACAGATGCCTCATCAAGACCCCCACACCAGGGAAGCACCAGGACCTGGCTGAGTAGCTACAGGGAATGAGACTCGGGTTTGGGTCCCCTCTGGGGACACACAGGATGCCAAACCTTCTGCAATAGCCTCTTGGGAAACAGCTTTTCCCTGGCCTGGAAGCAGGGTTACCCACACCCTGCCAGGCTCAGCTGGCACCACCGCTTTGGCACTGAGGTGGGGAGCTCAGGACCCACCATCCCCAGAGATGTGCCCTGGCCCTGTCCCGCCATCTCCCTCCCCATGGCAAAGAGGAGCCAGATATGGGTGACCAACCCGCCAACTCCTTTATTGCTGGATGGCTGTCGGCCACGAACACCGTCCCCACAGCAGGGGCACAGAATCCCCAAAGTCACAGGCTCTGCCCCACAGAGTGGGAAGGGTAGGCGGCGCTTGGCATAGCTCCCCTGGCAATGGGGTCCTACCCCCTCACTGCCTAAGCCCCCTTCCAGACGGGGTCCAGCATCCAGTGGTGGCCCTGCCCATCCCTGTGGCATCACCACCTGCATCCCAGGGGGCTGGACGAAGATGCTGGGGTGTGTGGGTTGCTGGGACCTGCTGGGAGCTGCAAGGGTCAGGTCCCTGCAGGGCTCAGAGGGTGGTGGAGGTGTTGCCAGAGGTGGAGGCGTAGGAGGCATGGCCGTAGCGGGCCACAGCATCCTTGCTGATGAGCCCACGCTGTGCCAGGATCTTGAGGAAGCTGTTGCGAAACTTCTGCCCGATGAAGGCATAGATGATGGGGTTGATGCAGCTGTGGGCGAAGCCCAGGACCTGCGTGACAGAGAGGGCTGTGTCGATGCTGTTCCTCCTCTCGCAGGTCTCAGCGATGGCCCGTGTCCTCATGAGGGTGTCGCTCACCAACGTGATGTTGTAGGGCAACCAGCAGATGAGGAAGACCAGCACCACGGCGAAGATGACCTTCATTGCCCGCTGCTTCTGGGAATTCTTGGTCTGCAGGAGGGTGTGGATGGTGACACCATAGCAGAAGAGCATCACCAGGAGGGGCAGGGCGAAGCCAAAGGTCTGCGGCAGGACCCGCAGCACCACGCGCCACTTGGCTGTGTCCTCACCACCGATGCGCTCATAGCACACGGTGCCGTTGCTGGGTGAGGGGAAAGCCTCACGGAACAGCAACACAGGCAGGGAAAGCAACACGGAGAAGACCCAGATGCCCAAGCAGACAAACTTCACCCAGTGCCTCTTCTCGGTGGCAGCCCGGGTGGCGTAGACGATAGCCAGGTAGCGGTCCACGCTGATGCAGGCCAGCAGCAGGATGCCACTGTAGAAGTTGGCCTCCTGCAGCACAGAGATGGCTTTGCACATCACAGTGCCAAAGACCCACTCGTGGGCTCGGTAGGCAGCCCAGAGCGGCAGGCTGAGGGCAAAGAGCAGGTCCGCCACGGCCAGGTTGAGCAGGTAGACATCGGTGACGGAGCGGTTGGTGTGGCTGGAGGTCACCACCAGCACCACCAGGCCATTCCCCACCACGCTGAGGATGAAGACGAGGCAGTAGATCACCACCACCAGGTACTTGTTGAGGACAGAGCCATCGGGCCGGCATGGGGCAGAGGAGATAGCGGTGCCGGGCATGGCCGTGCTATAGTCATAGGTGTAGTTGTAGAGGGAGAAGAGGTTGGACAAATCCCCGCTGAAGGAGAAGGAATCCATTTTGCCTGGGGAGCACAGAGCAGCATGAGTGTGGGGTGGGAGGGTGGTGTGGGCCAGGGGTGACAGCATCTCTGGGTCCTGTGGTATCTCGATTGCCACTCAGGTCCCCTCCCAACCAGTGGGCAGCCCCGCTCCATCACTCACTGTGCCCCGTGTCCACACTGTGCCAGGTAATGGGCAGTGTTGCAGGTGGACACTGTCCTGCACACGTCCCCTTGTACAACACCCCCAGCACCCCTCGGTCTGCTCCATTTCATCCCAACCCTGTCCCTTCCCTGTCCTCCATGGAGGAAGGGGTTCCCTCACGGACCAGCCACCTCTTCTCGGGTTGGGGGGCTCCCATATCAACGCAGCATCACATCCTTCCAGTAGACACCTAGGACACCTAGCCCCTCCAGCATCCCTGGGTCCCCCTGGTTTGCGTGGGTCCTTCAGAAGCCGCTGAGCTATTGGGCATCTCAGGGCCCCTTGGGCACCTCCAAAGTCCTCTGAGCACCTCTAGATCCCTCCAGCCTGTCCATCCCCTCAAGCATTGCTGCTGAGCCGCCCCTCCTGCCGCCACAGCCAGCGGCGAGGTTGCTGTCACAATGCCCAGGGCAGGCGGCACTTGAGAAGGTCTGAAGGTGGTTTCATGCCCTTCTTCCCCTCCCCGTCCTGTCCCTGTGTGAGCGGTTTCACCCCCTGGACGGAAAGATGTGTCACCCTTTGCAGGCGGCTTTGGAAATATTTCACATCTCTGGTTTTCCTGTTGCTCAGCTGGGCGCTGCCGGGCATCCCCATGTCCCCCGTTCTTGGCCACGATGGGGAAATGACAGGTGACAGTCGCTCTTCCTGCCTCCTCACGTGTAGGACACCCTGCTCTGTCCCTGCCTCCCCAAAAACCATTGGGTTTCAGCCTTCTCCTGATATGGATACGGACACCCATTTCACTCCAGTTTCACCGCTCTGTGCCGTTTCTCAATCCCCGAGCCCCTCCAGGACTTGGCGATGCCAGGGCTGCTTGGGGGTGCTGAGTCCCCACAGTGCTGGCGGGTCCCCGGCCCTGAGCTGGCTCCGTTTGAACCCAAACCCTTCCTGGGACAAACTTTCCCCTTCTGTCCAGTGGGAATTCCCTGCTGCAGCTGGGCTGGTGCCCCTGCCCAGAAAAATCCCTCGCTGGCTCTGCTGGCCCCGCTCCTGCAGTGATCCCGGGATGGTGATCCCGGGATGGTGATGCCCCACCATCTCAGAGGACCATAGCCAGGGACACTGCCAGTGCCAATGGGGAGAGGTCCCCCTGAGCAGGGCCACTGGAGGCTCGGGGCAGAGCCGGACATCAGCACTTCCCCTCAGTCTATTTTTGGCTGCTTTTTTCTGCCTCCCCACTCCAAAATCCCAGCAGTTCCTCCAGGACTGGGTATCCCCTACCTGCGGGTACCCTGCAGCTGGCCTGGCTGGGGGAATAAGCAGCACCCCATTTCCCCTCCTGACCCTGGAAGGGCTGGGGGACACTGGGGTGGCCCTGGGGGTCTCCAGGGGGAGGAAGGAGGGGACACTCCATGGGAAAGCACCCTCCCGGCTCATTGCTGTGCGAGGAAATGGGAGCGGGCGCTTACCCCCTAGGGCATCCACGGCCAATGTCCCTGGGGACTGCGGGGGGTCTGCACCCCGGATGAGCCCCAAGCACAGCCCTTGGTGCCCCCACCCGCCGCCTCCCGCTCCCCCCGAACCAGGCAGCCCCTTGGGCAGCCACTGCCACCCGCCTCAGTCCCCAGCCCAGTCCACTCCACATGTGAGGGGGCTCAGCTGGGTGCTGGGGGGCCAGCACAGCCCGAGGAAAGCCCCGATCTCCAGTGGAGCACCACAGGGACTCACCGCTCGCTGCCCTTGCTGTCCTCCCAAATCTGGGGTCTTCTCCCCGTCCCGAGCCGGTTCTTACTGGGAAGCACCCGGGCACAGAGACAAATCCAGGCGTCACCCCCAAAGGGCTCCGGTGCAGAGCGTGGCGGGATGTGGGGCAGCACCAGGCCCGGGGGTCCCACCGGGCCAGCAGGAGAGTCCCTCACCTGCACCCACCGCTGTGCCGCCTCCTGGCACCCCTTCCCTCCGCTGCCCGCTTTATGCTGCCCAGGGAGGAAGCGAGGTTGCAAAACCTTCTGCCAGCCTGAAGGGGAAGTGGCAGCCAGAAGGGACCCTTCCCCAGCCCCTCCAGGATGCCTTCCCCGGGGCCCTGGGGAGCCTGCAGCCCCCCCGCCACCCTCTTGCCCCAGGGTGTCCCAGGCCACTTGGCAG